GCCTTCCCCCCTCGGCCCGCGCAGAGACCCGATTTGTTCTTTGTGCAGATGCGGCGGCGGTGTTCGCCGTGCTGCTGATGTGCAGCGCGGTGACAGTGAGTGACGTGTGACAGTCGCATGCGGGCGGGTGGAGGCCTCCTGCATCCGTCTGCTTAAAGGTCTTCACGCTCAGTCAAAGAGGGATTGATCCTCACACTTCTCCGGGACACCTTTTTCTTTTTCTTTCCTTTTTGCTGCTGCTGTCAGATCAAAACGTTCTGTGTCCCCACGAAGCTGAAGAAGAAGAAATCGTGAAACGCACTCTCACTTTTTTAATAACTGATGTGGTCTCATTTTGTTCATCACAGGGTTTTGCGTGTGTGTGTGTGTGTGTGTGTGTGTGTGTGTGTGGGGGGGGGTTCGTAGTTCAACTCATCAAGAGTTTTCACAAAGTAAAAACACACCAACTCATTACCGCAATTACATTATTCTATTGGCTGCACACCAAAGGTTAGTGGAAGGCCTACCGGGCACAGGCCTGGGGGGCCTTAAGAGTCAGGGGCCCCCGTGGCCCTCACCTACAAAAGGACATTCAAGGACACCTCAACATCAGACATTATGATGAATGTTCTCTTTTGCTGTTTTTTTATTTCTAAAATGATAATGATACATTTAAATAAAAAGTTGGATCTATTGTAGTGAAACGTTGCCTTAGTTGTGATTTGATGGTGTTTGGCCTCGCTCTGCTTTGGTTGTGTTGCCTTTTGTTCGGATTTGTTTTGTCTGCCAAACTGTTTTGCAAGCACTTGTCAAGGTAATGAAGACATTATTATCATTATTATTATTATTATTTACTATTAGCATTATCATTATGACAAAGAGACACAAAAAGACCAAACAGTTACAAAAGGGGAGCAATGAGTTTTAACAGAAAACTTTGAAATGAGTCAAACGAGTATAAAGACACACAAATTAACTATGAAGAGATTTACAATTACTACAAGAAACACAAAGCAACCAAATGAACCCACAGAATGAGCACATAAATCAACTGGAAAGAGACAGAACGCCGACACCAGGCCAATAAAAAACCACATCTTAATTAACACGACTTTGATTGAGCTGGAATGTCTGTTGTTCCAGCTGCACATGTGAACTGAAGCCTGAGGGTTTAACACGAGAAGCTCACTAGAACATGTGTTCTCACTCCACGCCGCTTTACTCGTATCAGTTATTACCATCATCCTTCTGACCGCGGCGTCCACGTTTGAATTAAATGTTCCTGTCAGGAAAGGTTTCATTTAGGAGCATCATGGGACAGAAGCACAACAGAATAACACTTAATTAGCCATTAACACAATTAGCACAACTAATACGTTCACAAATAGACTCAAATCCCAAAGTTAGCTGAAGCTAAAGCTTTGCATTCACAGCAGTGTGGATGAGTAGGATTGTGTTTGTTTCCTTCGTGGCTCCTTGGTGTGAGTGCGGAGGGCTGAATGAGGGAAATCAAGGCAATGACAAAAGCACCAGGGAATATTCTTTTCTTCGCAGGATTAATAAGGGAAGGTTGAAAAAGCGCCGCTTTGTGACACACATCCGCGTTTCACACGTGACCTGTCAATCTCAGTCACAGTTGGACCTGATTAAGCTGATGAAACCAACAGAGAGCCACTTGAAACTGACAGAGACGCGTCGCACTTTGTTCGTGTCAGACGCTGTTGTTCCGGCAGCAACAGGCTGACAGCGAAAATGAAGGCGACTCCCAAAATAAACTCATCTCAACAGGTCTTTGATACTCCAGCTCTTTAGAAAGAGATCCGTCGACGAGGTGAGGGGAGTTCACTCGTTTTCCAGCGCAAATGAAGTAAAACGGAGGATGGCGTTGCACCTCGTGGCGTCATCTTGACACCCGAGTGCCTCATCTGCATATTCATGACATCTGGAGTGGAGTCAAAAGTGTCTTTTTCTAAACTTATATGATTCGTTTCGTTATTTAGGAAAACTGATTTCTATTTGAGTGTCATTCTCAAACCTAATTACTGTGCTTAAAAAAACTGTATCAATAACATACAATGCAAATTAAAAAATATATATTTGGATATATGTAAACAACAGGCCTATTAAAGCATACAAAATAGTGGAAATGAAGTTAAAATTAAAGTGATTATTAAATCTCTCTCTCTATATATATGTATGTACATGTACTTAATGCTAACATCACGTGTTAGCCGCCGCGCTAATGTTTCATCACACGCTTCATTTGGAACAACACGTTCATGAGTCGCGTCAAACACGCGGTGGTTTGTTTTGTTCCTCCGCTGGCAGCTGGTAATTCGGCAGCGAACTGTAGTCGCGGCGCCTCCGTTCACGGGCGCTCGGCGGCGTGAACGGAGGCGCCCGGGGAGGAGGGAGAAGAGGCCCGCGGCCCGGGTCGACTCAGCCGCGCGACACGCGATAGGGTCCAAATCCAAAGTGGAATGGCTGCAGGCTTCAACCTGCGCTTAAGAGGGTCACGGCCGAACAAAGGGGGTTCAGTCCGTAGCCGAGAGGCCGCACACACACACACACACACACTGAATGGAATACAGTGTGTGTGTGTGTGTGTGTGTTGCAGGTTTAGTTCAGCAAACGTTCCAGTCTGTGTGTGTCTCCTTTGTCTGAAATGAAAAACTTCTCTTCCCCTCAGATCCTCCACCGAGACGTCAGGAAGCGAGGTGAGGAGAGAGGAGCCTAGGAAACGAGTGTTTGGTGAAATGAGCCGTCCTTAACGCTCAAACAGAATGGATTGTGTTTTTTTCATTTTCAAGACCACATTTAGCACTAAAGTGTCTGATTTATTTATCGACATCATTACTGCGGTTGGATAAAAAACTGCAACAAATAACGTGGAAAAGGGAGCATTTTATTTTGTTTTGTGTGTGCGGTGCCTTAATGTTTATGTTTATGTCTGAAAGGGAGGAGGTCACATGAGCGGGACGTGCTGCTCTATTTCCTCCTAATAAATTCACTTAATATTCTCTAATTAGTCTCCATATTAGTGAACATTTTAATCATTTCCACAATCAATCACCTATTAATCCTCAACCACTGTGATGTGTGTGTGTGTGTGTGTGTGTGTGTGTGAGACGTTGTTGTCTGAAGTGTTACTGAGATTTTTTCTGAGATTTAATTCTCTCTGAGAGACAAAGATTGTTCCGCTCGGTTTGAGAATGTCCTGCATCTTAAAGAAAATCAATTCAGAAATGTTGAAAAGCCTTCGGAGCTTTATTATTTATTCTTTGTGTGTGTCGGGTCACACCTGCCCCCCCCCTCCTGCTGGGCGAGCGCCGGACCCCTCAGAAGAAAGCGCCGCTCCTCGAGAGAACGGATTGACGTCTTTTATTTGCCTCGCGATATCTGTCGTCTCACATGTTGCACCGAGGCTCAGCTTTCAGAGTAAACGCCCCCCCCCACCCCTCGCCTTCCACGCCTCAGAAACACCCCCCCCAGACATGACGGCCGGGGGAAACAGCGTCGGCGTCGGTTATTCTGCAGGAATGACTCCGCGCGGCCCTTTTGCTGCAGCCGCTCTCTGGTATTCTCTGTCCTTACGGCTTCCCACGCGAGCTCCGGCGGGAAGGCTCGTGGAGCCGAGCCGTGTTTCACCTCTTCAAGCCGAACGCCGGGCGCCAAAAAGCTGCGAAGCGCAGCGGGGCGGCCTCGGCGTGTCGGGCCTTTTCCCACGCCGGCCCCGGCGTAACAGGAAGTCCTGTCAAATTCTACCACTCGGTTTTGTTCTGTTTCTTCTTCTTCTGTGTCTCCGGCATCTCTCCGTCCCCTCTTCCCTCCTCCCACCTCCTCCCACCTCCTCCCACCTCCTCCCTCCTTTGCACGTCTAACATGTCACCCTTCGTCTTTTGTACCTGCAGGCCTTTTTTCCCCTCGGCTCCTTTGGCTCTCCCTTTCCCTCTCAAGGGCCTAATTATGAGCCGGCATTAAATAAAAACATTTATATTTCCCCCCCCAAAAAAGGCTTCTCCCTGCCTTTCCTGGACAATGGGGGCTTGTGATTCGCCCCCCGCCCCCCCCCCCCTCCTGCTCCCTCTCTGTCTCTTTTTCCGCCGAGTGGCCCTTCACCGGGGGTCTTTGTCCCCCTTTGTGATTGGCTGGCTGTGGGACTCCTAGGGGCAGCAATTGGTGCTCATAAACTTTACATACTACTCTAGAGAATGAGACAAGCAAAAATAAGCCTGGGAGTGGGGTTTCCTCCCGAGCCCACGCAATAAGATAAACGCAAGACTTGAGAGGGAAGTCCCTATCCGGCACAATGGCCTGCGGCTCCCTGCCCTTCGGCCAAAAGGGAAGTGTTGCCATTGTCCAAACACACACACACACACACACACACACACACACACACACACACACACACACACACACACACACACAGGGAATGCATGCCGCACAGCGGGATGCGATGTAGCTGTGTGGTGGCGTCATCTCAGGGGCCAATTTAGAAAGATTGGGGACTTAAGAGAGCTTTTCTGTCCCGTGCACTTACAAAGTCACACACACACACACACAGACACACACACACACACACGCACACACTTTTCCATCCTCATTAGCGACGTTCAGGACAAACCGGGAGTTTGCTCTCTGTTTGCTCATTTGTCGCCCTGTGATTCCTCCCGCAGCACGCTGCAGTTTTACAAATTTTTTTTGTGTGAAAAAAAGAAGATTTCCTGCGAGGATCGTGTGCGTGTGTCGGTGTCTCGGCGCAGCAGCGGGTAATAAAATCAGCACGTCGTGTCTGTGGCGGAAACATAAATAACTCATGCAACTCCTCTCGGAGGAAACTCAGGAAATTTCAGTGTTTATGAAAAAAAAAAAACCAGCATACAAATAATGATATTCCATCCGTCTCCGAAAGGGAAATGCATTGAAAAGTGAAAACTTTGCAAAGCCTTCCTGTTTTTTTTATCTCATAATAGGAGCCGAAAGTGGGTCTCTTTTTCTCCGTTTATCTGCGTGGTGTTCCCAGGAGGAACAGTGGCTACCCCTCCTTATCTTTGTTACCGCCGAGTGCTGCAGTGGATTATGAAGTGGATTATGCAAATGCCTCACAATATATTCATGTTAACAAAGGTTGAGGTTCACGCGCCCGGAATTTATGAATACGCAAAAAAAAAGAAGAAGAACTGAATTGGCTGGAATGTTTTATCATTTAATGGAAATGAACTCGGTTCACAGTATTGTGCCGTGTTTTTGCTCATTTGTTAATTTGTTCAATTAGCTGCATTATAAAGCAGAGTGATATCCAATTTGGCTCATTGTTTTAATTATTTGTGTTGTGCGTTAGTGGAGCTCAATAACCGATATGCCTGTGGGTATTAGTGTGTATAATTGTGTGGATTTCCCCTCTATTTGGACAGAAGAATGGCTTCTCTCTGGCATTGTTTGTCGGATATTTACCCGAATAGGGAATCATCTCCAGTACATTGTTTTTAACACAGGGATCAAAGTACACGTGGCAACGAATCGCACCTCTCTGCTTTTTGTTTTCTTGTGATAAAAGCTGAAAAAAACCCTTCAAACATCCAGGTTTTGGCTCGGAGCTGCAATGCAGGAAAGCCTGCACGGGCGGTTCCTTGACTGCAGAGAGAAAGAAATGAAGGTCACACAACAAGTGATCTGATTTAAATTCAGCATATGCAAACTCAATTTGAAGCTCATCTCTCAGATGGACTACCTGCAAAGATTGGCAAGCCTCATTTCTGGGTCAAAAGATGCTGAAATGGCAAAAAATGGACCGACTATGTCAGAAAAGTGAAGGTTGAAGTTTCATTACACAGCATTTAACTTGCGAACTGATGGACTTACAACATGCAGTCGTGCCGGCTTCAAATTGAGATGTATCTGTAATATCGGATCTTCTGATTTGAGAATAACAAAATCATTATTCAGCGAGTCAAGATTTGCAGACGTTGTATTTTTCTTCGTTGACGTCGCCGGGCAAGACTTTCGAGGTGTGTCGCCCTGAAACAATAAGAACACTGACTCATAAATAGTGATGCAATAAAGAAAATCCCGGCCAACAGTCACGATAGCGATCAGCGTAATCAAGTTTCTCAGGAGTAAAGGGCAGCGTGAGATAGAAGTAGTAAAACGCTGGATTCCAAACATCGCGTCGTCTGTGTTCTGGATCCAAGCAGGAAACAACGACTCTCTCAGTCGTAAAGATACAAGAAGTTTAAAAAATGCAGAGTGGCCGAGAAAATCGGAAACGTTGCCTCCCGCCTCAATGGGGAGTGGCTTGAGCCGGGCGAGGCGAGGATAACGTTTCATACCTTCACATGATGGCAGCAAGACGTAACTTTAAAGCGGCTTTAGTCAATATTTTCATCCATTCATCACAGAGGTCGTGGTCTTGGTACTTAATGTGCTCCACAAGCTCGGTGGAGACCAAAGCAGAGCCGAAAAAGAGCAGAATTCTTACTTATATTTTCAATGTTGAAGCAGCGTGACGGGGGCTTCATCCTCCTCCCAGGGTGGCGGCGGCGGCAGCGACAAATCAAGCGGCTAATTGGGGTTGTCAGCATTTCAAACACAATTAAGGACAGTTTTCTTCCTGCTGACCTAATTGTGGGTGATAATTATTGTTTGGGACCTAATTTACACAAATCATTAACAGATGTATACTGACAAATAGGCCAACTTGTCTCCCTGCAAATCCCTGCAGCATTGTGTTGTTAATTGGGCCGAATGTAAGCAGATACTCTAACGTGTCCCCCCCCTTCACTGAATACAATCCTAATCTTCTGAATAAACAGCCTCGACTTCAGGAGGCGTGTTCTTCCTGAAGCCCAGATCGAGTTTCACGCTGCTGGTGAAGTTAACGGAGATAAAATGGATGCACAGTTTGTTTAATTTGCAGAGAACGTTTTTCGGTAAGAGAGAGTGAAGGTGTGTTGCACCAGGGCAACAGAGCCCGTATGTTCTGTTCTCTCCGCTGCTTCTTCCCAACAGCCAGCAGCTTTATTTCTGCTAATCTCATTTAGAAGCACAACGTAGTTTGTATCGGCCCACAGTGACGGTTCTATAGGAACCGGGTCGAACCGTCGTTATCATATTAAATGTTTATTCTCCCTCCCCTCCGCTCAAATACTCTTAACATGCATGAATTTCAAATGCATTCAAAATGAAGTGTATTGTTAATAGTAAACAACTTGTAAATATGTTGCATAAGTTATAAATGCTGTATATATGTATTATATATACACACACAAATGACAGTTCCTTTCCTACAAAAACATGCTTCAGTAAAGACAGAACCTGAAACATTTATTTTTATAGAATAATAATTTCAGTGGCCGGAATCCTGCTGCTGACGGCCGTTTGTGGGGGGGGGAGCGTTTCCCACCCTGCCGCACAAAGGGGGCTTCAGCGTGTTCTCAGGCATTGTCTCTGTCTCTGGACCACCCGTCCCCCCCCGCGCTGTCCCACTGTCACTCAAACAATACAACGCTGCAGCCCCTGCTTTGCCCCCACACACCCTATTTACTCAGCCGGCCCCTCCCTGCTCGCCACCACCCACGCGCGGGATGCCGGGAGTGGTGACATGGTGTTATTTTAGTGGTGAATGTGGACGATTAGTCAACAGCTGGTGCTCCCTCCATCCAGAGGGGGAGAGTCAAGTTAAGACACGGCGGCTTTGCAGCAGCAGCAGCAGCACGCCGAGGAGGGCGGAGCGAGCGAACCCGAAGCGCCCGTCGCGCCTCTTTGTTGTCGTCGTCGTGGCGGCAGGGTGACGGGGGGTCGTTTCAAGTCGATGAGCAAATTCCCAGTTTCATTTGTCCCGTTTACGAATGTGCATTTTCAAATCACGAGGATGCCTCCTCGGGAAGATATTCGAAGGCGACGTCATGACATCAGTCGTTTGAGTGCGAGGTTAAACGCCGGTGGCGCAGTAATCCCAGCCGCCAGGTGCCTCTGGCTGAACTCCCCAAGAGAACAGCTGCGGTCCCCGTTTGTCCGGCTGGCGTCGGAGACGGCGAGTTGTTCACCACTTCTAGTCAAACATCTCCGCGTCCATGAGGCCCACAGAGCGGCCTGTGGTGACTGATGTGGTTCCATCCTCTCCCTGACGACAGCAGGAGGCGTCTTCCATCGGCAGTGTTACGCTGCATCATGCCCCCCTCCCCAAGGGGAAGGAGGCGCCTCGACGGCTCGGTCGGCGGAGTGGAGAACCGGAGAGGAGCTGAGCTGAGCCGCTCTTTAGGCCGCTGGTTCAACTTCGGCTTGAAAACAATAAAGAGACTTGTTCTTTTTTGGAGCCGTTGTAGAGTTCGTTCGCCTTGTGGGGAAATCAGGATGAAATACGATGACGGAATCCGCATCTGAGAGTCAAGCATCGCCACACGGAGACAACAAAGCATCCGAGCATCTAAAGGTTTATGAATGCGGTACACGGCCTCGTGGGTCGCCGGGGGGCCTCGTCTGAGCCTTTTTGGCCCTGGTCTCGCCCGACCAGACGCGTCTCCGCGGGTTCAGGCCCCGAGCCGGCTGGACCAGTCAGGCAGGAGTCAATACGGCTCCGGGCGAAAGCATCTGGGCGGCGTGCAGCTAGGCAGCCGGCCTCTCACTCCCTCCAGAGGCCTTCACCCCACGGACGGACAGCGGAGGAGCCACAGAAGACAGACACGCGCCTCAGCAGGAAGCGGCAGCTGAGGAGGGGAGACGGCGTTAATGTTGTGTGACTGGGGGTCGTGAGGAGGATCCCTCTGCTGGGACAGTGGAACCTTTCTCAGAACATCTGGAGGTCCGTCTGCGCAGCCAGAAGGAGCTCTCATCAGCCCAATAGGGAGCTTCCATTTCTCCATCCCCAACCTGACAGGACGCGAGCCAGACAAGGGTCTGACCCGAGCAGGAAAAACTGCATCATTTTTATTTACTCGTTGCAAGCGAAACCTTTTAAGCTTCCTCCCCGCTGTGTCTTTTTTTCCTTCAAATTTAAATCCAACCAATACGGTGAAGATCGTAGATGCGTATGTGACGGTTTTTCTCTTTAGGAAGTTGCGTGTTCACGGATTGTGAGCAAAAAACCCTCTGAGGAACAACTCATTGGGGTAAAATGAGACGATATTAAAGAGCATATTGGGGGGCGGTCAGCGGCCAACGGCGGTGAATCACAGGCCTCCGGTCGACGTGCTGGAGGCAGCGAGCGAGTCCAGAGACCACCCAGATCTCCCTCTGAAACACTTAGCGGTTGTAATTAGATGGGAGGGACGTGTGCAAAACGCTCTCTGTGCAAATATGGATTCAGTGCCCAGACAGACGCCTGTGACTGCGCTGCGTTTCCAAAAGAACCTCAACTTGCTCTCCTCCAATCAGCACAAGTCACGTAGAAAACGCGAAGGATAGCTTGCACGTTTTTGTACGTTCGTAACATTTTCAGGCGCAAATTCACGGCGTTCACCTCGCTGCTGTGAGGCCTCAGATTGAGTTGATGGGATGAACATCCGCGTGAGCGGCAGCACAGCATCAGCCGGCTGGCTTCTTGGTAGAAACCGAATTAAAAAGAAAGGTCGGAAAACAACCCCCGGGCGTTCGGAAGTGGAAGACAATGGCGAGGTAGTCTGTCCAAGCGCGCTGCACATTCCGCTCCACTTGAGCTAATATTCTGGGAGATTCTCCTCTTAACGTAATTACCGGCGAAATGACGGAGTTGGTCGGGCCGCCTGCACGGAAGGACTCCCGATGCTCTGAAACTCGACTGGGTTTCTGTGGGAGTTCATGCCGAATGCGTTTCCCAGGAATTCCAGACTGGAGTTTGACTTGCACCAAAACTTCCAGAGACGTTGCAGCTCCGAGGGATTCGGTGAACTCCTGCAGAGAGATTCATTCATCCCTTTTCCAGTGACAAACTAGGAAACGCTCAGCTGTTAAACAGATGAGGAGAAAGTTTCCTGCAGGCTTCAGAGGGAGTTTGACGGTGGCAATGGATGTAGGACAGAAACGTGGTCTGCTGAGGGAACATCTGCTCTTTGCTGCAGTCAACACAACGGAAAAACGTCTCTGTGAGGATGCACAAACGCTGCCACCTTGTTTCTCGCCAGCTACCCAGCTACAGGAACATGTATTTTCTGCAAAACCCTGATGTGAAGTGAAAGGATCAGCCGTGCAGAAGGAGGTTGACCAGGTGGTAGTGATGGACAGGCAACCACACTACTTGGTTTAAAAGAACAAAAGCTCAAGGAATGTGCGTAGAAATAACGTCTCCATGTGAATTATTCTCATCATTAAAACACGATGAACACATCTTTGTTGCATTCTTGGTATTTTGAAAAAGGCAACATTACAGACCGTCGTGCAACTTGGTTCGTTTTTATCGGTTATCTGCCTTAACAATGTGACCTTCAACTTCACTTCACACACACACACACACACACACACACACACACACACACACACACACACACACACACACACACACACACACACACACACACACACACACACAACCTCCTTGCTCAGCAGTTGTTCTGGATGAGAACATTCAATAAAAGAGTGTCCATTAAGGGGCACCGCTGGTAAACATCTGCATGTTGTGGTGAGCATGTGACCATGTTAGCAGTCTTACATTAACGTTTAGTTAAGTTAATCTATTTTTTAAAAATAGGACAGAAGGAACAATGTGGCAAGCGGCGAATGTGTCTGTCTGCCAGCGACGCCTTTCAGTCCCTTTGTGAGACGGATGAATGTTAGCGAGTCGAAGCCCCTGAGATTCTCTCACGTGACAGAACACCCGTGACTTGTTATCACTCGTGGGTGAAAAGGATAAATAAACACATAACACGGAGTACAAGTAGAGCTGAAGGGCCTTTTGTGAAAGATTGTTGAGGAGCGAATTGGAAACGAGAGGACGCAGCTTCACCGCGATAAACACATCTGGATCAGCACATGTGTCTTTTGTCTACTCCATTGTTCTAAAATGAAGGCATTTTTATTTAGTCTGGAATATTCAGGACGCACACGCGCGCTCCTCCCCCGGCGGCGGGGCGGCGATGGCCTGAGGTGGAGGCAGGTGGAGACAGGTGGAGGCAGGTGGAGGCAGGTGTCGGGGCAGGTTTGCATCGCTGAGTGCCACCGTCAGCCAGCTGTCTCCCGCTGTCCCGCTGCCAGCAAATATGACTCGCCAACCCCGGCGTGTCGGCAGCTCGCGGGGGCGGCCTGTGCCGAAACGCCAGAGACGGCGTACCTGCAACGTGCACTTCAGCTCCCGGTGACCCCCACCCACCCCCACCCACGGTCGCCTCCACTCCAAAGTCAGAGTTATTGGTTATTGAGGCACCAAGATCCTCCATTTCCGCAGTGAAGCGTTCATCCGAAGAATATGACAATTCAATTCTCACGAGCTGTCAGTCACAGGAATCCGTTTTCTTTTCTCCAAACCAAACACAGGTGTGCCCGAAAGACAAAAACGTATAGGTGTGTTGGATAAATAATAAAGCTTTCAGCAGGTAAC